GGTCCGTAGTGGTGACCAACTATGAGGAGACCATCAAGATGCCCATCAATGAACCTGCAAGGGGACAGAAAATGTCACAAATCCAGGTGTGACTTCATCAGCTTATAGCATTGGTTCACAGGGGTTTATCACTCTGGTGTAGCACAGGGGAGTAACATCGTGGTACAGAGCCCATCTTAAATGCTTTGTTTTGTTCATGCCTAATATTTTCTAAGTTGTATGGTTTTATTTGTTCTTATGGGTAACTGTTGAATTCTGAACCGCCTGGGAATCAGTATCATTTGCATTAAGTGTTATTTTCCCATCCACCCAAAGGTGCACTATTACCTCTAATAATACATGTTGTACTAACTTGTGAATTGCAAGTGCCCTGCTCATTTAATGTGTTAACTGTAAAAGCTAAATGTAATTTGCAGGGTATCGCAGTGGTTTATTGCAGTTAGTCCCCAGCAGCTTGAGGAACAGTTGTGCAATTAAGTACTAAATGAACTCAATGGAATCTCCCTGTGTTGAAACCTCCTGGCTAATAGCCCTGTCTCAGTGCTTTAATGTTCTGCATCCCCCTCCTCACAGGAATATGTGGACTACAACGGGGGCCCAGGTGCTCAGCACATCGCCCTGAACACGTCAGACATTATCCAAGCTGTGAGTCTCCCCAGTTCATTTTCCCACAGCCTCCGCAAATCTGCAAGTAAAGGCAAGTTTAAGAAGCTGCTTCTCTTTTTTGTGCGCTTGAATCAGGTGGTGAACCTGCGCGCCCGGGGGATGGAGTTCCTCTCAGCGCCTGACAAGTACTACGACAACCTGCGGCTGAATCTCAAAACCGCCAAGATCAAGGTGAAGGAGGACCTGGACCGTTTACAGGTGAGGAAACGTGTGATTTCAGCAAGCCTGAAATTATTTACAACCTTTTTTGCTTGTGTCATTCCAAACTATACATCTGTGTTTTTCACTTTGAAGGAATTGAAAATCTTAGTTGATTTTGACGACAATGGCTACATCCTCCAAATCTTCACCAAACCCGTGCAGGACAGACCGACTCTCTTCCTGGAGGTCATTCAGCGGCACAACCACTTTGTAAGAGGAAGAATTACTTATTATTATAAGTTAAGGTACTAATAATAGCACACAAATGTAACTAAAGTATGAACATATAAAATATTGCCTCCGTCAGTTTTACTATTGTATTGACATCTGCAACCTTTGGTAGTTTAATGCACAGCAATGCATCATATTCGATAAGATCAACATTTGGGTGTAGCTTTGTCGTTGGCATTAGAGAAACACATAAACAAAAGTCAGTTTATGATGACTTCAAGACCATGGATTTCCAGTTTATCCAAGATACTTTTGTAATCATTTATTTGGCTTAAGAAGTAGGAGAATTTCCTAAAGCATAAAGGAATACTTTATCCTTTAGTTTATCACAAACATTCAACATCTGGAGATTAAGGGTTTTCACTGAAAAGGAAGGGAGAGAAAAAATATAATCTGAAGAGTAAACAGTCGTAGAATACAAATGAGATTATTTCCCTCTGAGTAGAGAAGCGGAAGTGGAAAGTTGCATAAATAGAATTACTCAATTATAATAATTGTTTTATAGTATAGTAAAATATTGTTGTAGTATAGTAAAGTAAAAGTTGTAATTGCACAGTATGAGTAAATGTACTTTGTTACTGCCCACTGCCAGTTACACAAACTACTGGTATGATTGGTCAACTAATGGTAGTCGTATCGTGTTTTTGGGGTGAGACCAATAGGAATGTGGTGCTGTTTCTAACGTCCTCACCACCTTAAAGAGTGAGAGCGGCCTGAACACCTGTTTGCAGCTCCCACCCAGTGTGAACAGTATAACAGCAGCCCACTTGAAAAACCCCAGTAAATCTATCACAGGAGCAGATTAAAAGGCTCCCTGCTTCACAGCGAGGGGGATCTTTGGATTGGGTTGCACCCTGTGGCACTCCATTTATTACCTAGCACCCATTCTGCCTGTCAGAACAGGCCCATCATGTCACTCTCCAGCGTTTCACTGCAGATGTGGATACAATGCATGAAAGTGAGAAACTGAAGCTCTCAGAGCAACCACCCAACACTTGATCTTTTGATTATCCATGATACAAATATTGACATGATTAGTTTGCGAGCCCCTGGTGAGCTCCCATTGAACCCTGTGTGAATATTTCCAAGCCTCAGACTTCAAAGTTTCTTACTGTACGGTGTCTGAGAGAAGAACCCCAGAGCCATAAGGAATGACACAGAAGACGGCAGATCTTTAAGTAATTAGCCATCTGTGTGTGCTTGTTCTCTCTCCAGGGCTTTGGGGCAGGAAACTTCAAGTCTCTCTTTGAGGCCATTGAGAAGGACCAAGAAGCCCGTGGCAACCTCACCCAGATGACACCCGACAGGCAGGCCAAAGCCTCGAACTGATGCTCGCCTGCTGCTGCCAAACCACACCAAATATCATTGTACATCTCAACAGCGCTGGATATAAAACACATGTACCGAGTGTTGATGATCTTCATGAGAAAAACTGCTATTAGATATGTTGCTTATCGATTGCATGCTGTACGACTAAATAAAGATACTCATGTTCATGAAAGTTGGATAGTATTTGGGAAATAGAATCATTTCTAAAGGAAAAATTCAACAATTTGGAAAGTATTTGCTTGTTTGCCAAAGTTACATGAGAAAATTGATACTAATCTGTAAATGATGATGAAAAGTCTTGCTTTAAATTGTACATTATTAAAAAATATATATATGGAAAATGAAAACACAACCGTTTTTATTTAAGAAGCAAGGTATGTCAAGAGGTTTAGAGGTGCCGGTAGGCAGGTTGTTTCCCATTTGTGTAAAGGCCAATTTCTCCAAAACCCATAGGGGCCTACTAGTCTAGCAGGAAGGGCCCTCAGATGTTGAGATACCCCTACCCGAGGTAGAACAAAACACAACAATGATTTTTCTTATCTTTAGGGTCTCCCATTAATGAAATTGATTGTTGTCAAATTTTATTTTGGGGGAAAAATGTTTTTTTGGTTATTCTTTAGAACTACCCCAATACCTGAAAAAGAGCCAAATTAGACCAGGCCGAATATGGGAAAGGTGACAAAAAAGCCTATAACTTGAGAAGGATCACTCTTTTCCTCTTCAGATTAGCTGAGGTATGAACCAGATGGCTGTCCTACATCACCAAATAGTCAGACAATTATTTACCTAAAAGAATACTGAATTATAGTCCTGTAAAGCTTTAGTTTAGACGGAAATTGTACTTTTTGGTGATAGGAACATAGGATTGGGTTACTCTTATTCTGACTATTTGGTGATGTAGTTCAGGTATTTCCCTCTCCAAATATGATGACCATCAGAGTGAGCATTCTTAACTTATAGGCTATTATGCCACTTATCCCCCATTTGGAATTTGACTGTATCAGAGAAGAGGTAGGCCTATGTCTAAAGAAATCTCATTTGCAATATAACTGTACCAGATATTTCCATACAACTACTGGTTAGTGTTCAATAGCACCCTAGACAATTCAGTAATGGTATCTTTTTTAGGGATTTCTGTTTTCTGATAAATGAGAGAAAAGTGATGGAGTCCTATGTTTCTATCACCAAAAAGTACAATTTCCGTCTAAACTAAAGCTAAGTTTACAGGACTATAATTCAGTATTATTTTAGGTAAATAATTATCTGACTATTTGGTGATGTAGGACAGCCACCTGGTTCATACCTCAGCAAATCTGAAGAGGAAAAGAGTGATCATTCTCAAGTTATGGGCTTTTTTGTCACCTTTCCCATTTTCGGCCTGGTCTAATTTGGCTCTTTTTCAGGGATTGGGGTAGTTCCATACAGTCTATGGGTAGTTCTAAAGAACAACCCAAAAACATTTTTCCCCCCAAAATTGACAACAATGGGAGACCCTAAAGATAAGAAAAATCATTGTTGTGTTTTGTTCTACCTCGGGTAGGGGTATCTCGAAAACTAAAGCCTTTTTTGAGGACTTACGGTCTATGCCTGAACCTCAATAGTTCGAAAATTGCCTATTTGAACAAAATCCAATGGGTGATATTCCTTCATTGTATTAGGGACTTTACAGACAGCAAATAACTAGTTGCGAGTTTCGACAGAGCTTTTGCATCATCTCACGCTGCCTACGCGTTGCCAGCAGCCAGCAACTATCATGGACTCTATGAAATAACTCACCATAACAGCAGGCGGCGGTAGTCAGTGTTGGTAATACAAAAGAATAAACCGGGAAAAAGTTAGACTTAAGACATGTAGACATACACGCAGTTTTATGACACACACATTAAAACCACAACAACCAGCGTTTTCAACCATTTTCAAACCACTCTCACTTACCACTCACCTTCTTTATAGATGACAGAAAGATGAAACAAAGATTGTGTGCGGCCCTGTTACTCGAGTCGTTTGTTTCTCCTGTGGCCATTTCTCTCCACGTGCGCTGATTCGCTTAAACTGAACAGCCAATCAATGTGATTTATTTTGCCGACACACGTCGAATCTGCGGTGAAAAATATGCCGAAAGTGCGGGACATACGGGGGAGACAGCACTCAAATAATACATATTTTATATTACTTTTGGATTTGAAGCAAAATAATCGTGTATTCTGTAAGTATTAGGCTATATTTAGCATGGTTTTCTTCAGGGTGAAGCTCTTTATGGAATGTAAGCATTTTTGTAACACACATTTGTTTGCTTGACATTCTGTTTTTTCCATTTATCGTACAATTCTTGCAGTTAATAAGGATTACATTGTGCAACATATTATAGCAATGTTTCTTCCCCCTCTTTAATAGGTTGTCCTTGAGGAGTTAAATTGTACATCAGTGTGAAACAAAATAGGTTATTTAGCTCTAGACATCTATTTGTAAACTATGTTGGGTACGTTTGAGTCAACTATATGTAATTGAACACAAACCCAGCTCATCTAACACTTTGGGAATTAAAAGAATAAAAACAATCCTCAGCACAGAGGTTTTATTTCAAAATAATTTATTTGCATATAATTGGAATGAAGACAGGTTGATACATCTGTGATGGCACTGCTCAGTTTCCATATAGAAACATTCAGTCTATACAGAAACCACTCTTTCAAACCTGGACAAAATGGATAAATATATTAGTAAATAAATATATTAGTGACATGTCACTATATTGAAATGTTCTATTATATATAAAATACAACACTATTTCATTTCTGTTTTTTTGTTTGTTCTCTTTTTGTACACAAAGTATCCAAAATATACTGACATATCCCTTAAGGTTCTGGAGGGATTTTTTTTACTCATAGAAAAGGCAGTTTCAGCTCATTATTCTTGCAAAAACATAAAAAAACAAACAAATAAACCACAGAAAGAGAAAGATCTTGAACAGGATGAAATTACATCAGATATTATGTGGCATCATTTTTCATGTGCTTACGGTTTGGGGATGTTTTGTTCTTTAAATGATCAAATCTGCCCAAGCCTGTAAATGCTGCTTGTAATTCAGTCATTTCCATCTCAGACAGAGGCTGTTTAGGCACCAATAATAACAGACAAGGACACTTTGTCTGGAGGACGCTGCGTTGACACATTCAAAGTGGGGTTTAAGAACAAATGACTGCAGTTAAAAAGTCTGCATGATTGTCCAACATATTGATTCCAAAATGATTTCCACTTCAATTCTGTCAGGTCCTCTTCACAAAAGCACATTTTGTTCTTATATTTAAGGAAAGGGTTGCCAACACATACTGAGTTATAAGTTCACTGTGTTCAAGATTGTGCCTCTTTGGTTGGACAGGTAAGAGCTTAGTGTGTGTGTGTGTGTGTGTGGGGGGGGGGAGGGTCCTGAATGAGGATTATGAACAGTTTCTTTATGAATAAGGCACATATAAGGCTTTTTATTAAGTGCTACTGGTTACATTGCAATACCCATGAGCTCTGTGTCTGCTGTTAAACTGTATCTGACTGCTGCTGAGTAAAGCCTTTCACATTTCACTTAGCCTTTAAGGGAAAGTCCACACTATTATAGCATTCTAATTCCTCTAATGTGTGATCGTTTAGCCTAGCAGAGGAGTCTGTGTTAAAGATACACAAATAAAGCCATCTTTGACTACTATCCACACAATTTAAGTTATCAGAGTAATTCTTCCTGGACACATGTTCTGTCTGCCAGAGGGGCTAAATAGGTGGAGTGAGAAGATAATGGATATTTAGATTTTTATTTTTAAAGGATGGCGTAAATATTTCATCTTAATTTAAAAAAATGTAAATACTGAATCTAATTTAGAACAATGCAAATGTACAACAACACAGGATCTTTTACCGATTGGGGTATCATTACTTAAGAAGTCCTGAGAGGCAAATGAGAAAAACAATTCTTGTAATGCATTTTTTTTACGTCTGATCTGAAATGGTGCATTTCCTGTGTTTATGACTTAAGAACAGATGACAAAGAAGCTTTTTCCAGGATATCTTTTCTGTCAGGGCAGTATCAGATTTTCAGTTCATGATTTTATAATTGCGTTTAAACAGTTTTTGGAAAGTTATTCCCCCAAAAAATGTTTACATGATATTGTTATATGTGTAATGTTTGACATTTTTTATATCACAGTTAGTATAAACTGGAAAAAACAAAGTTTAATCTGTGATATAGGTGAGAAAATACAATTTAATATTTGCCAGTATAATTTTAGGTGATTTTTTTGTTACTCCTTTGCTATTGTAATACTCATTTTGCTAACAAAAACTGCTTATCCTGATCATTACGTATCCTTATAGATTTACCCTAAATCATAAACACAGGAGATACAACAACTTAGAATGTCTGTTCTAGGGTCAGGGTGAAAATCACTGGGGAAGCTTGCAGAGTTTAAGGATGTTTCGGGACTGTTCGGTTACATGGCTTTACTCGGGTTATATCATGAAATAATCACTTTTTCTAGAAGGTAGAACATTTCCCTTGAGCTTTAGTTCCTGGAAGACAAAGGGAGGGTGCACCCTTTTTGGAGAATAACACAACATAGCGATGAATTAGCCGTTAAAGCAGCAGAGGATATGGTTGTATTATGGCCTGTACACTTTTCACTGATCGGGAGGTTTAACAGCACCAACATGTGAAGACACCAATGGCAAGAGAAATGGCGAGAACAAGTTTACACTAGCTTGTAATGACGACGGGATAATTCAGTCAAACCGGTTCATTCTGAGAGGATAAAAAAATAATAATTACATACTACAAAAAAAAAAATACAGAAAATGATCCAAAACACAAACAAAACAGCTGCCATTATTGAAATAATGAAAAAGGGCCCATGCGAGGCTCAGCTACCTCATTGAACGCTCGCTGTGTGAGGGGCTGAGCATCAACCTTCCTCTCCATTTTGGACAGGTCGGACTGCCAAGAGGAACACTTTTTGTTGAGTTTATGGGAGCTACGTGGTTGTGACATAAAAAAGAATCACTACAGCAGTACCTTTAAAGACCCCCTGTGTGAGGCATGTTAAGAAATCTGAGCTGAGGTAGGCTGGAGAGAAAAGCTTCTCTCAGCTGAGACTAGACTCAGCGAAGGAAGACGCAGATCACGAGAGTGAAAGATAGTACCTCGAAGATAAATCAAGTTATTTTTGCTTTAGAGTGAGCGACGCAGAGATGGAGTCTCACTTCATGAGGGCTCAACACCCTAAGCAAGGATCATTCATTGCTAAGGAGCATGGGAACTTGTGATATCATATCCAAAATGAATATTATTCCTATATATCTGAAGAGGAGAAATGCAGAAAAACCTTGTTGCCTCTTTGTGGTGTATGAGTCGTTTCTCCAGCAGCTCCCAAACATTTTCATAATTCAATGTATTTTCAACATTATGAAGGGTCTTCACTTAAAAAATGATTTGTTTAAGTTTTAGCATGATTCAATTATAATCATTTCAATCCAACTCAGGCGAAAGAGCATTTCAGTGTGAGTTCTGAATCCCGGGGGGAATTGCTGGTGGAACAATGTGGAAGACGTGAGAGCGATAGCCAATGAGAGGCCTGTCCATTCTGGCTCCTGGGTAGCAGCTTGATTATCGGGGATGCAACAAGTTCTCACACACCGGACTCCTCTTCTGATCCTGTGGGCACAAAAACAGCTCAAGTCATCTTCAAAATATAATTTGAAAAAATACATAATTTTTTTTTTTTAAATAAACAGCTACAGTAAGGATAACGCTGGTGCATACTGTTTATATGGCAGAGTTTTAAATAGTGAAGTTTTACTGGGCACATCTGAACAATGTAACACACTTCGAAATGCACAACTTCATCTCCTGTCCTATGGTCTCCTGTGTGCAAAGAATCGATTCTCCTATTATGGAAATCAAAGGATGTGCCAAGTTTTAAAGCTAGGATAACGACATTGACTGATACTCTGCATTTGGAAAGAATTCGATATATCCTAAAACATAGACTGGGGGAATATGAAAGGATGTGGGGTCCAATGGTTTCATTTACAAGGGGGACGGTCGGCTGAGATGCATTGCACAAACAATCGATTTTTAATGGCTTGGGTGGGGGGGGGGGGGGGGGGGGGGGGGGGGGGGGTTGTAGTCTGGGCTCATTAGCACCCTTTAAGTTTATTTATTTATTTCTATTATATATACTATTTTGTATGTTCTTTCCCACTAGGACTATGTATGTCATTAAGTATGGTATTCCTGTCTTGCTATGTTTTTTCTTTATTATTTCTTGTTGGCTGTTCTGTTTGTCTTCTATGTTGAAAAAGGGAAGCATGATTTCCACCCCAAAGAAGTCTGTACTATTGCTTACACTTGTATGCTTCTTCTCAATTCAGCAAGACTTTTCAACATCTTAGGATTCTTAATTAACCATGGAGGCATGAGTCATTCTTTGGTGGTAAATATTCCATAAAGTCCTAAAGGCTGGACATGTTATTAAAGATAAACAAGTGAGTCACCCACCCTGATTGTGGTGTAAAGTTTGGCAGTGCAAACAAATGTCTGTGTTACAGTCAGCAGCAGGACCGTGGTAGAACCTGCAGGGGGGCCTGTCCATAGGGGCCCCGGGCCCCAAGAGCTGAGGCTCTGAGCGGGCCTGCTGCACCCGCTTTTGCCACACAACATGGGCCCCGGCATAGCAGGGCCACTCCTCAATACCCCCAGAGTCCAGAATGAGGGGCACGGGGAGCAGGGCGGGGTGCAGCTCAGGGGGGGAGCAGCAGAAGCCGGGCCCCTGACCATAGTGGATGTGGATGCTGCGGTCGTCCTGCAGATCCAGGCTCTGGTGGAAGCGAACAGAGGGGCCGTCGTGAACGTAGCCCCCCACTCGCCCAAGTGGAGCGGGAGGGTGTCCGTGTCCCTGGTGGCAGCAGTGGGGCTGAAGCTGTAAGGGGATTGGGGACACCAGGACTGGAGGAGGGCTGCTAGGGTCCTGACACTCGGCCCCCGGACTGGGCCGGTCTGTGGGCTCTGGCTTCGGGCACTGGCAGGGGCTGTGCTTAGGGGGGCACATGGGCGAGTCTTTGTCCAGGAGAGGAGCAGCAGAAGCAGCTGCATCAGCAGCAGCGGCCCCCTGCTCCTCGTCCGAGCCCCTGCTGTGCTCCCCCTCCTCATAGTGGTGGTGTCTGTGGCGGTGGTAGTGGATGTGGCTGAACACAGTCTGCGTCTGCTCCTCGGGGCAGCCTGCTTTGTTCACAACAGAATCCAGAGACCTGGGCCGGGCCTGGGCCCCTTCCTCTAGGCTGCTCCTGCGGGGCCCGTGTCCAGGACCTGGCCCGTAATACACAAACGGATCGTAGTCACTGCTCAGGGAGCTCCGGAAGGTGGACCAGCTGCCATAGACCCCCTGCAGGGACACGTCAGTACAGTTCAGGACAGAGTCGCTGGAGGAGCCATGACATGGCCCCGAACTGGAGTCACTTGCTGGCCCATCAGCCAAGTACCCGCTGCGTTCTGTGTGGTAGCTCCCCCCCGAGCAGCTGCCGTCGTCCTGCCGGGTGTGGGGGGGCGCTCCGCGGGGCTGTGGCGTGGAGGAGGCCGCGTGCTGCAGTCTGGAGCTGGATGCACTGCGCTGGGCAGGGCAGGCTGAGCGGTAGTTGTTGTGGCAGGGCCGACGGGGGGTGTAGTGGTGAGTGGAAGTCCTGCAGTTACCACTTATCCTATGGGGCCTCCCGGGACCCTCCACAGGAAGGTGGTACCCACAGCTGGAGGCGAGCTGCCTGCTGGTGAGGAAGCGTAGTGTCTGAGCGTCTACGGGAGAAGAGCCAGAGTAGTGGCCCAGAGAGGGGTACGGTCCTGAGGGTCCCCGGGGATAGTGGGGCCTCATAGAGAAGGGGATGGCGTGCTGGGGGAAGAGGTGGCTGTGTGGGCTGCTGAAGGGCTGAGGGTGCAGGAAGCTCTGGCTCTGCTCCTGACTCTGTCTGCTGGTCCTCTGGGGCTGCCGCTCCGTCCCTGTGGAGACCAGCAGCAGTCAGAATACACAGAACAGGGTACGAGGAACTTCTGATTATACAACACGTCTCACTGCAGATTAAACAGGGGTTAAGAATTCAGAGAAATGGCTGGTTGGAAGGAAAAATATAAATGTGATCCATCCAAGTCTGATCTACATAACTTCTCTCTGGTGATTACTTTAAAATAATATTTCTTCTGCCATGTTTCAACTTGGTTAGTATCTGTGAAAACAGATAAAATAGTCAGGTTACATTTTTGTATTAATACTCAGTTAGGCCACAAGAGGCTGACGTTCAGCAACACCATGTTGTAAATAGAACTAAAGGCATTTAGCGTTTTATTCCACGTTAAATTGGAATCTCCCCAATGCTCTTTAGACACAAGGTACATATATTGTACGTTTCATCAAATTCCTGTGCCAAAAATGTTTTCCCCAATGAACTAAAAGATGTAACATTTGTTTCACCTGATAAATCACAAATACAGGAGAGAAAACTTTAAGTGAACATTTCAGATTGTACCTAGATCACCAGATATTATTTTTCTCTTACCTCTCAGGGCTACTATCTTAATACAGTGTAAATTCCTAGTCTAATCGTCACCATCTTTACCACAACTTGACTGGCAATATATGTTTCCTCACCCATGATGTTATGCATGCAGAGGGGACAGGTGCGGTGCTGCAGCAGCCAGGGGTCGACACACTCTTTGTGGAACTCGTGAGCGCAGGAGATGATCCTCAGATGCTGCGATAAAAGAGAGGCAGAGGAAGATTTGAGGATAAATAGCTGACAGTTAAATGTACAGAAACATTATTCATTGCTCTATCTCCTCTCACCTGCCCGTCCAGGAATTCGTCCAGGCAGATGGCACAGACGGGGCTGGAGTTGGAGCTGCTGGCCGAGCCCCAGGCTGCGCGGTGCCGCTGGGCCCCCGAGCAGCCCTGAGAGCTGTACGTCTTGGTCTCCAGGCGACTGATGGCCCGCATGGTCTGCTGATGGACTGAGTCCTGCACACACAAGAAGAGAGGGTTAGAAAATCCTTTCAAATGGATCCACAATGAAGACTGACAGCTTGTTTTTTGTGAGCTTTTCACTTTTACAAATGTCACTGCTGCCACTCACCCAGGTCCGGTTGGACTTGCACTTGTAGCGGAAAGCGAAGATTAGGACGATGGTCAGAATAGCTAGGACAATGGTGAGCAGGATACCAACATCATAATGTTGCTGTAAAGGGAGGAGAAAATGGAAATAAAGCAAAAATATTTTTAATTTAAAACCTCAACTTAATTCACATAAACAACTTGCAATAATAAATCCATATTTGAAGTGAAGATAATGTTTGTTTTTGTGAATTATTTATGGTTTAAATATTGTAATCACCTTAATAATGCAGTTATAAGTAGTAGTAGCCTAGTAGCAATAATATAAATTATTTTCATTTTGATTAAACAATTTATTTTCATCATATCCTTGAGTTATGTTGTGGATCCAAGATTTTGAATGACCATATTGAACATGACTCAGCATCTGATGGTGCAAATAATCCAACTCTTTAGCTACATGAATAAACATATCAAAAAGACTGTGTACAACTTTTTGAATATTAAAAAAATATATATTCAAACATTTAATCCCATCCTGTAATTATATGTGTCTTAGTCACACATAGATTGTCATTATTTGTGTCTAATATTTTACATTTAATCCAAAATCATATCTGTACCTACTCTAATGGAGCGCAGAGAAAGTTATTTTGTGAGAAAGCGTAGAGAGATCCTCTCCCCCCCCCCCCCCCCCCCCCCCCCCCCCCCCCCCCCCCCCTAGTTAATGAAAGGAATGTCAGAAAGATGTCATTGTTTCAGGGCTTACCCAACTGGGCAGCTCCACCAGGAGCTCAATAGTAACTTTGGCCTCTTCGTTCTTGTTAACCAAACCCATCAACTCCTCAGCATTCTGTGCCTCCACCAGCACCACGGGGCCGCGAAGGAAGTCTGCTTCTCTCAGCTGTGCGTTAGTGAATAGGAAGGTAAAGTACACAGACACGTGAGTGTGTTTTATCCTCTCACACACTTTAAAGATTAGTACAATAGTGGCCGTACACTCACATCAGAAGCAGCATTGGCATCATCACTGACATCAAAGATCACGGCCTGAGCTCCTTTGTCCAATGCCATACGAGCCTGAAGGAGACAGCACAGAGGAGACAGTTATAAACAAAACATAAAGACAGCAGGACATCTTTGGGAGATGCATAAAGTCATGTGACGTGAATAATGGAGACTTATTCATTGGGAAAGCTGGTAACCTGCGCTACAGAACAGAACACTCGTTATGATGATACACATTTGTTTGAATTCACTGGCCATTTTTGGGGTTTTGGGTTATTCTGCTTCCCTGACTTGTGTCACTGAACAGTGTAAAGAAAACATCAAAAATAAACATTTAGGTGTCTATTTGTGTCTGTAGATTTCTCCTAAATGTGACCCGCTCTATCGAAATCAGTCGGAAGTAGCAACGGCTCATTTCAAAATAAACGTGGATTTGCGTAAAAAAATAGTTTTTCGGGGTTCGGGTGTTTTGTTTGATTTTAAATAAACAAAGTCTTGGCTTTCAGAATATGAAACTTTTATTTCCAAAATCACACGATAAATACATGTTTGAAGCTTGTAAAGGGAAGATGACAGCTCTCACTCGCCACTCTGCTCTTCCGCAGCGCAGCTCCCCCTCCCTCCGGCTGAAATTATGAATGTAAGGCGTATAGTAATCATAGATAACACGGCAGGGTCCGTTACAGTTTGTTTTCATCTGATTTCAATTAAACAAAGTCTTGGCTTTCAGAATATTAAACTTGTTTCGGCAAATTCAGATGATAAATACAACTTTGAAGCTTGTAACGGCATAAATACAAGCGGAGAACGGAGTAACTTAACGTCACAGCAAGCATAACAACAGCTGGTGTTTCTCGTGAGTGTTTTCCCCGGGAAACAAACACAATACACACAAATGCAAAATTACACAAACACACACACACGTACAGTATACACACACATACACTCGCGAGCTTCCCCCAGACCAGTAATCCAAATGAAAATATTTTCCCTCTGTAGTATTTTGATAATTTGCTAATAATCAATCAGATCGATGGATTCCAGAGAAGAGGAAACTTTGAAGGCCTTTTTCTCAAAATGATGACTCGGTGACAGTCATTATATAATGTGACATATTTCGCTTAATGTTTGGAGTACAAAAACAATCCTGATATCATCAGAAAGCTAGGAATCTCCTCTTTCCAACAGTGTATACTGTACAACTCAAAATGTGTCTTTGGGTCAATGCGACTGATTCCGATGGAGCAGGTCACATATGTACTAAAAATGCCCCTTTTTCAGATTCAATTATTTCAGAAAACTTACAAAAACATTTCTGGTGTAAAATAAACTACTGCGGAAGTTTTCAATTTCACCTGTAGTGTCTTGAAAAATGTATGGAATAGAACATATTGGCATATACATATATTTAAAGGCTGTTTTATCATATTTATCAAATTAGTTTTTCTTCTCATACCAGAAGATAGATCCCCGAAACACACAATCATTTTTGAACAAGGCTTTAACCAATGTTCAGATTTCTGTTCCGGAAGAGGATGATGATGAGATAATGCCTGATTTGCATATTTAATCATAATATTTCAGAAAACCTGTAATACGTAATAAGTAATTCATCGGGGGAGTTTCATGGTGTAAAGATATCTAACGCTGTTCACCTGCTGTATCTCCCATAGCACTTTATTTAAGGTCCTAACTCGAGCACTAGGTGGCGCTCCTGCACTGAGCCCCAGGCCTCACACAGACCAAAGTGCAGCTCCTCCTCCCACTGCTCCACCTGACTGTGGGAGCCACACACTGACTGAAGAGTGGAAGCATGGAGCTGAAGGCCGCAGCACAAATCTGCTGCCTGATCTGAACCCTTTTCTAATGTTGGAGCGTAAAGCAACAAGAAGTAATGCAGGATGATTTGACTGAGTGAAAGGAAAATGTGTTATAGACTCACATGCTAATGGACATCTTAGTTTCCATGTGTCATTTCACAGTGAGGGATTTTAATACTTATATACTATTTTAACAGAACGATATTCCAAACAAGTACAATGGCAAATCAGGTGAATTTACAACCACCTGTTTCTAACCAGTTGCGCTCGATTGGACCATTAGGGTTAGGTAAGGTCGTTTTTAGGGTCTTTAATTAGTCTTAGGTTGTGAACGTTACTGTATGATCACTGCACTTCTTCAAATAAAGAAAACGTCTTTGTTAAACATATATTTTAAACTATCTGTTGAGTGTATTGGCTCATGCTTTCAGCTTCAAGCTTAACAGTGTTTCCCATTTGATATATCTGCATTATGTCTACAGTATCATTGATCTCGCAAACCTAACTATTAGAGGCATCTATTCATTCTCAAATATATGCCGTTTAGCTTATTATCATTGCGAATGAAATGCTCTATAAAATGTTCCATTAGGTATGGCTTGGTCTGTGAATCTTTTTCCGTAACAGTGCAATACATATTTTTGGTTAAAGAAGGCTGAGGTCTATAATTACTCCTTCATTTTTACTATAGTTAAGTTTCTCTCAATCAAAGCCTAACAGGGAAAGTGAATTTGCATATTGTCACTCTAACACCCCAAAATAGCACTTGTGGTGTGAATGTCTTTTCAATGTGTGCGCGTGTGTGTGCCCTAAAACAATCCAGAAATACTTTTTTTCCAGCATCACTAGAAGACAGTTGAAAAACAAAAAGCAGTCTTTCCATTAATACTTCATCACATGCTGTCAAGCGTCTGGCATCTGCCGACAACACAAGTTTAAACACCTAATCCCCGGGTCAAACACTACACACACTCAATGTACACAGTATATAAGGGATGCTTTGCCACAATTAAGCCCAATACAACCCTACTGCGACTTTAAACATTTTGTGATAACATATATTGCAATGTATTGCTTTGTATCCTTTAACTGAATTTATATTATGCAGCGTTTAGTTTCATTCTGCTATTTTTTGACCACCTTTAAGCTGATATTACCCATAACCTCACTCAGCCCCATCAAGTGGACTGAAATAGCGAGTGCAACCAAAACGTTTAAATAGTATTTTCAATATTAAATATAAAACAATCAATATCACAAAATACTGCTATACTATGCTGTGTCAATTGTTTCCCTGACCCCTAGATAATGCAGGAATTAATAGTGAAACAATTATTTGAGTAGATTTCTGGTAGATTTTGGACTTGGGATACTGAAAGTGAATATCCTGATAGGAGTAAAAAACAGACTCACAAAATGTTGCTATTAATGCAGGGACCTTCCTAATTATTGACTACCTTTTTTAAGATGATTTGATCACTTAAAATAATGTTCACTTAAACAAGATGCATGTACTATCTGTGATGCAATAAAAAACAAATCGGTTTGTCAAGTGATTCAAGTATGTTTGAAAGTTTAAGGCAATTTTCTAAAATGATCTGGATAATACAGTGCAAAGCTATTATTTTGGCCAGGATGGTCCCATGCCTGCTGCAGAAGTTAAAAGCTGCACGTACACTGACTGTGAGTGTGCATACAGTGCGTGTTTTTGTGCAGCTGAGAGTTAACAACATTGCCCCACAGAACCGCCGGTGGTGGCCGTAGTGCTGACGGTCAGAAAGAGGTCAAATAAAAAAATTATCATGTTCCCTTTGATCTGGCTTCCAGCTCTGGAGCAGCAGCCGTTCCCCTGTTTCATCAGAACGGTAATTGTGGTACGTGCGTGGGCCTAAATCGGGTGCGGTCACATTGGAGTAGAACAAAAAAAAAAACGGAATCTTTGACATGTGGGAATTTGCTTTACCTGGGGTTCAAAAGTTGCACGCTGCAATGAGCCCAAACATCCTCTAATCGCGGTAATAAACGCAGGGAAGCCCAATGTGGTGTCACACACACACACACACACACACACACACACACACACACACACACACACACACAACACACACACACACACACACACACACACACACACACACACACACACCACACACACACACACACACACACACACACACACACACACACACACACACACACACACACACACACACACGCAGTTTCAAAACCCCAGTTTGAGAAAATACCATCATAATTTCTACGAATGTCTGCTGCTGTGGTTTTATTATTTCTCAGTATTAGTAGTGAGCCACAGACCCAGAAGAGGCCGGAGAGATCTGATTACATGATTAACAGAAGACACTATATTTAACCTTTAACGGCGCAATGACAAGCTGCTACGCTAACAAGACAAGCTAAAAGGAAGTGCCAGCACGAAGGTTTCAACATCTCCAGGTCTGAAACTGAAACACAAATGTCTGTGGTTAGGTAAACACCCATCCTCGGGAGGTGCCACTTGACACATGTGATTCAACACTATTTGGCATTGGAGTAAACATTAACAACTCACAATCGCAGAGTCGGAAATGCCTGTGGTTTACAGAGGTTTACAGGGAAGACATCATCCCTGAGAAACTCACAAACAACCCTTTTTTTTGGCAGAGGGTGCAATGAAACACGGGTTAAGTCTTGCTGTGTTTTGTCACGCTGTGCAATCATTTGAATAAAGGCAGGAGAGGAGTAGCAGCAGGTAATTGAGCTGTCACAAACATAAACACACCTGAGGACCCAGAGCGAGGACCCAGAGCGAGGCACCGTGAGGTCACACGCCAGCAGCTCTGCACCCACAGACACACCGTGAGGTCACACACCAGCAGCTCTGCACCCACAGACACACCGTGAGGTCACACACCAGCAGCTCTGCACCCACAGACACACTCTTACTTCAAATCCCATCAGGGCTTCTTTTACATGTATTCAGCTCTAAGGAAAGAAACTGGGAAATGTCAAGTTTAAATGTATCATCTTATCTTTTAACTGAGTTTGTCTGCATTTTTTCCTCGTATAATTCCTTTACATTTGATAGAATACAATACATAAGAAATAAATGAAGTAAAAAAAATGCACATGGGAAGGACGCCAATCAAACCGAGAGTCCCATTGCCAATTTAGATTTTGCCCAAAATAAGCAAGATTTTCCATTGCCTTCAATACACACAACCCTGTAAAGCTGTATCACAACCTAACCATAAT